GATACCAGGAGGAGAGACAGAGAAAAAATGGCAGATTTACACATACAACAAGATATTACTGCCATAAATGTACGCCTTGACACCCTAAAAAAGAAAACTCTATACAATGCAAGAACTATACATGCCAGATAGAGAACATCCTATACAAGTGGTAAATACCACGGATTATAGCATCAATAATCCTCCTCACAGGACTCAAAAAATGACTCTCCCGCAGAGGGTCTGTCGTTTTATACATGAAGATGATTACCCTCGACCCATAATATTGAGCAACCTCCCTGATGAAGAAGATTGGGTAACACCAGAACCCTTCTATGTATACTGAGTACATCATCGCCCCCAATTAGGGAGACATCTTATATAACAACCTAATGTAAAAATTATGCTATTTACTATGGCTGGACACCACCTGTAAGAAGCCATTGTCACGGAATTCTATAAACTGGCCAGAAAATTATTGCCTTCATTGTCGCATAAATATCCATTGTGCAATCGCGCAAAAAAAAAAATGCAACTTGTATAATTACTACCAATTCAGAGTCATGTACTTATATTCTGTTATATCTATGTGACTCTGATGGGTTAGTCTTATACCTCTTAAAGAATATCTTATCATTTCACGTACACTTTTTAAATTACACCAAAGTGGTTGGGCCACTTACCTTTTATATCCTACCTCTCTCCCCCCTCCCACCCTTTTCCAAAATTTCTATCCTTACCCATCCTTCTTCCTTACCCATCTCACCAAAGCTCTGGTCTGGATACCGAATACCGAATACTTGTCCCGCTCATCTAAGTGACAAATTGGGGCAAATACAGACGTATTCATAAGGCAGACATAAACATGTGATAAACACTGACTACAAAGCACGCGAGAATAGTGAACGCCAAGTCATGATATAACAATTAATTTTGATTAATGACCTACACTGATGTCTGTTCCTAACTACCCTAGAGGTAGACATCATGGCTCATTCATGATATAAACATTATTAAGCCTCCAAGCTGCATGGACTCAAGAAGACAACTTTACAGTGTCTCTTAACTTACCAAACTCAGTGAGAGATCTTCCTTTACACTGTCTCGTGTGAGCATTAATATACCTTTTATTTATTTGATACTTACATTCTTCTATAATTTGATTCGTGTCCATGCACGGTCATAATTAATATGGAATAAGCAACACATCAAATTAAAATATAAATTATAAGGAATGGATATTATAAAAGAGAAAAATATATATTTCTCTGCTTTATACTACGTGAATGGCTGAGATTATTTTTAAATCCCCTTTCTCCATAGTTAATCTACCAGCGCCTCTTTCGACTCGACTGGTCTTAAGTCTATTAACCATGGTCAAAACCCTCACAACTCTAGATTTATGCAGAATGTTGTGCACTTACCATCACTTGAAAGTAGCGATTATCTAAACCATATAACACAGCACACAAGCGCCTAAATGTTCTTTAAGCTCCCGTTCCTATTCACAACAAGAGCGAGCACTCAAGACACTTGGGTAACCTCGAGGTAAATAAGAGACCTTGTCAAGTTATAACATAATTAATGTTGGTTTGTTAGGTTCAAAGCTCCTAAACGAATCATTAATTAATGCTGCATTATAACATTCGAAAATTTTTTAATCCCTAAAATAGGGATTAGACTAAACTTTAAATAAAACTTCATATATATACAAAGAGATATACTTCTCAGTGTATATAACAGCAACATACACCTCTCCATGTATGACTGCTCTTGTAATAGTGAGGGGATGGTGAACTTTAAACCTGCTTACGTGTATTTCACCGTGACATAACGTTGAGTGTGTTCGAGTTGCTAGGCTTGCAATTACCTATCTGAGATTGCTGTGAGGGTGAGGTATAGCTCTTTAGTCCCGTCTCTTGACTTTTGAGCAATTTATGTAAAAAATGGTGAGCACTTCCACTGTTCAGTTCACTCAATTCACTCCTGTTCGAGGCTGCGCTTGTGTGTGTCACTGCTGAAAGACCCTTAATAATAATAATAATAATAATAATAATAATAATAATAATAATAATAATAATTATTATTATTATTATCATTATTTTTCATGTGTTGGAACGCTTGATGTTATCCTAGTAAGAAATACAAGAATAATTCCTTATCACAAAATATATATCAACATGATTTTTGTCATTAATCTGCTCGTGTTGCACAGTTTGTATTACTAAGATATATATGTTGCAGTGGTGGTGTGTCAGTGCTGGTTCATCAACTGGTGGTGTGTCAGTGCTGGTTCATCAACTGGTGGTGTGTCAGTGGTGGCTCATCAACTGGTGGTGACTGGTGATGTGTCAGTGCTGGCTCATCAACTCAACTCACAACTTTGTCAGTGCTGGCTCATCAACTCACCCTTGTCAGTGCTGGTTCATCAACTCACCCTGCTGCAGTAAACGAACTTTTGTAATTATTAATATATAAATTATCTGACAGTGTACAATCTAAGTTGCCTATGTCGCTGGTTTTCTTCAATGCTGGTACCTGGATGCTAATGCTGTGCTCTTGATTCCAAGAGTTGAAGCAACCTACCTTCATTCCTTAGACTCATTGGCACTGGGAAATAAGATGCGGTGGTATGGTTTGAACGGTTTGTCCGTGGAAGGTGTGTCACTCTCTCCACAACATTCTTGCCTAAAAACTGAGCTTCTGTTTCTGCATAAATAGTGAAGATATTTTCCTTGTTTTATAAATCTGTTGACACGAATTATTTACAAGGTTTGTGGAATGTGAAAAAATATACTTCGAATAGTTTTACTTGCTTTGTGATTATAATTCATGCAATAAGTGACTTGTTCAGGACAGTGTCAAGTTGATGCTAGTGTGTGTACATGACATGTGAAGTGTGTGTGTGTGTACATGGCGTGTAAGGTGTATATACATAGTAGATGAGGGGTGTGTATACATTGGCTGAGGTGAGCGTATATGCGGGATTAAGTGTGCATATGATGGCTGAGATGTGTGTACACAGTGGACCGAGGTGTGTGTACACGGTGGCTGAAATGTTTGTACACTTCTAAGGCGTGAGCGTAATTTTCCTTTTCGTAATTAAAATGTCTGTAGTGATAAGGTGTTAGTGGCTACACGTGTTTAATATTCAGTTAACTAATAAGTTACTCTGTCTCCATAACTTCACTCTCGAACCTTAAAACGCTGAGCAAATTTGATACTCAGACACTACGAACTATTTGAAGTGCAAAGTTAGTCAATAACTCAAAACAGTGAAGTGAAACTCCACGGCAAAAGATGCAATACAAACGAGTTACATATTACTGGGATAAACAAACCAGTGAAGCTGCGAACACTAAACTATTAAATAATTTAAGAACCACCTGGACATGCACACTTCACCCATTAGATTCAGCGGCTGGCTCTTGTCAACGGGATCCTGACATTAGTTCAGAGTATCTTTAGGGCCATCAGTTGAAAATGAGCCTACAAGGGCATAACAGTAAAAGCAGATTAGTTCTAAGAGAAATCAAACTACTTTTAATTTTCCTGTTACTGTAAGTATCCTTTTGCATTGTTCTATACATCATATGATTACCCAGTTTTTGTTCTATCCGGCAGTGTGGCCGGAGGGAATGGAGGTCAAGAGAGCCTATCCTAATCTCAACTGCCTAAACAAAATTAGAAGCAGTGAAGCTAGTCCTCAGCAGAGCCTCCTCATAGCCTGTGTAATCTGCTGTCTTCCCCATGTACAATGTTCAGCTAGTATTTCCCAAGTCCTTCCCCAAACCTCCTTTTACACCCAACTTCCATTCACTCCCTATCTCTTCCTGCCTCCTTCCCTTCTCTCATACCTCTCCACCCCCCTCCCCCATACTTCTCCACCCCTCGCCATAACTTACCCCATCTCGAGCAGGTGATTCTCATAAAAGCCCATTGCAATAAACCCCTTACAACATGGCGATTAGGGGGGAATCTGTGGCACCTCTCTCACCCACCCCCTCCCTCTCTTACCTTCCCCTTACATTCCCTCCTCCCCTCTTAGTTGTCGTAGCACCACGGTAGGAAACAGTAAGGGTGAGGGTCGTGTACCAGGCGTGGCGTCGCCCCTACTGCTACCCCTCCAGTCCAACAGCCTCACGCGGTAATTAAACTGTGCGTGGAATGCGCGTTACCGCCAATTAAATGTCCAGGAGTGGTGGAACTGTCGCCTCCTGGGTCGTTAGGCTCCCACATGGTTATTGGCTTGTGTGCCCAGGGCTGGGGATGGGTGGGAGGGGAAGGGTGGAGGAAAGGAGGAGGATTGGGAAAGGGAGGAGGACTGGGAAGGGAAGGAGGATTAGGAAGGGGAGGAAGATTGGTAATGGGTACTGGAGAGTAAGGGAAAGGGAGGCTTGAGAAAGAGTATTGGAGGGGTGGTGGAAGGGAAGGAACACTGGAAAGGGGAGAAGGGTCTTAGGAAGAGGAGGACCGATATTGGGGAAGGAAAAAGCATTTTTTGTACATATAAACTGCAAAACTTACATGAATTATGTCAACAGATTAACTGATGTAGTAGCCAGGCTTAGGTTTGGTTACAGGTACTTTGACACTTTGGCAGACACAGATGATGATCAAACCAAATACAATGCGGCCAGCTCTATAATCACTATCTGGAACACTGTGCTTTAATGTCCATTTATTGAGGAATAAAGAGATAGACAGTATAATAATAACCTATGTAACATGTCAAGATACATTATTAATGAAAATGAGACACCAGCTTGCAACAGATATGTGACCTTGTAAATATAAATCCTGATGTACTCCTGTAAACCCTTTGCGCGCCTAGTTCTTAGGCCTTTCGTGTATCCAAATGCTCTTGCGCTATCGTCCACAGGATGGATAAGGGGTGCACAGTTAACTAGTCGCTTCGGCGACAAAATTTAAAATTGCATGAATTGCCTTTATATGTTGGTGTGTGAGGCCATATACAGCCATTGTTGACGTGTGGTAACCTCTGTGTATCTTTCTTGCAGCAGAGGCGCCAGGCTGTGTGGTGTGCAGCTTCCAGCAGCGACGCTGTTGCTGTGTCTCCTATGGTGCTGCTATAGCGTGGAGGCACAGCACAACTACCCCGAAGAGGTGAGTACAACAACTACATTGACGCTACAATAGTTTCAGGCTGATGGCAGAGGTAATGCTTATTTATGTTTTTGCTGTTATCTTATATGATCTTTTTTTGTAATGTTGACATTTTTTTAAAGTGCAAGTATTTTTTTTTTCTTGTTAACATTTGTTGCTGACCTTTATTGTTTGACTCGTGACGAGTCGACATGCAATGCATTATGTGTCAGTCTCATGATTCTGTTTATTTTACAAGTTAATGTTCATTCCTCGCAGCGGTCACTTTGGTGTCCGCTAGCCCTGTCTATCCATGCCAGGACAGAGATAGTGTGGCAGTCTTCCCTTTGTACCTGTAACCGTGTATCCCCTAGCTTGTCCATTCTTGTGACCACAAGATAAGCGTCAGTTCCCCTCCTTAACAGCCGTAACTTTGATGTCCCTCTCTATGTCTATCCTCTACTCTTTAATAGACTGGTAAGCTAAGCGCCTCAGACCTCTATTACCACATCCCAAAAGCAAAAACATAATCTTGTTTGAATGGCTGGAAACAATTTAGTGTCTTCCTGGAAAGGGGCTTAATTTTGGTGAGAGGCTTTTGTTGAGCCAAGGAAATGGATCTACCTTTTCCCTTCCTTGAATCAAACCTGATTACCTTCCATTCTCCAGGTTCTGTATGCCGCCCCACTGGTTTAGCGCTTCACCATAACTAGAACAATTTAGTCTTCCTGCATTGTGTGTACATGTTAGCTCTATGTATATGTATTGTGTATTACCTGCATGAGTGTATTATATACTCCCAGGTGAGATATTTAACACTCGATGTAGTGGTGCTGCACGTGGTAGTGGTGCTCCACCTGGTGGTGCTGCACGTGGTAGTGGTGCTCCACCTGGTGGTGCTCAGACTGAGCACTGGTGATATACACCTGTTATCGTCCAAGTTCTTCACTAACAGACGAACATCCCAGACATAAGTGTTGACTCAGGTTGCATGTTTATATGGATAATTATGTAAAATAACAGTGAAAAATAGTGAAATTCCAAGCGATTTCGTGATTTCTCACACGAAAGCACATGGAATTTCACTATTTTTCCCTGTAGTTATTTTGCATATTGTGATATCACCTGTTTACTGTGATTTTATGTGTATATGCCTGTCTATACACAGATCAGTTTATATATCAGTGTACATATTCTGAGAGGTGCATATCTATATATTTTTGACTGGTTGTGCACAGGTGATATGCCACCTCAATGACTTTTGTTATTCCTAGAGTTTACAAGCAACAAAGCAGCACACACTGGTCTCTAAAAGCAGCAGCAGCGTCCCCCTCCAGCTTGTAGGTGATGTCTGCAAACATTACAATGCACTTGAATACAACTTTGGCTCAATCGTACACACTTGTTCTTTCCTTCGTCTGTGCAGAGGTTATTTATATCAGTGAGTGTGTGAGTAGAGGCGCCATCAAGCGTGACATGACCCACTTGAGAGCTGAGCATAGGACCAAGATACCCAAAGTTTATTGTCATGATAACAAGTGCCAGAGCCACTACACAAGTGCCCACCACCACCTTTACTGCCTCTCTCTCCCTCCTTTCGCACCCATGTGCCCACAGCCACCATTACGGCCCCTCCCTCTTACCCATCACCAAGTACATCACATCCTGAGATGGTAATTCCCATATAATAGTGACTGCTGCTCTGCTGAGACGAAACCTTTGAAGCTGCCGTAGTTGCTGAACTCTTAATGGGATACCTTCCTTACTGAAGTCTCCGAGTTCAGGCAGATACATTTCAACACTATTCATAAAAAAACCACGTTCAGAGAAGAAACTTTAGACAACGTCTTAATCCGTCCTGGACCATTAAAAAAAATCACAAGGATTGCTCTCTGTTTTTTGTTTTTTTTTGTGGTCTGCTCAAGATACGTTATCGTGACTTATTCTTCAACACTATGTAGGAAACCAGTCGCATGTGATGGTTAATGACGGGGAAACACAGCTACCCTTTTTTCCCAATATGTAACTAACGTGTAGATTAAAGTAACAGCATACTGCTGAAGTATTCAGTTATGCTAAATAAAAAATACAAGTGCGCCACGACCACCATCAGTCCCTCTCCCTCCGTCTCTCTCGCTTCAGGTTATAAAATTTTCGTATTTCTCCCTCTGTTTGCTGTGTGTTGTGTAGTGTTCTCTCGTGTGTTGTGTTGTTCCCTCGTGTTGTGCTGTGTTCCCTCGTGTGTTGTGTTCTCTCGTGTGTTGTGTTGTTCCCTCGTGTGTTGTGTTCCCTCCTGTGTTGTGTTGTTCCCTCGTGTTGTGCTGTGTTCCCTCGTGTGTTGTGTTCTCTCGTGTGTTGTGTTGTTCCCTCGTGTGTTGTGTTCCCTCCTGTGTTGTGTTGTTCCCTCGTGTTGTGCTGTGTTCCCTCGTGTGTTGTGTTCCCTCGTGTGTTGTGTCCCCTCGTGTGTTGTGTTGTGTTCCCTCGTGTGTTGTGCTGTGTTCCCTCGTGTGTTGTGCTTTTCCTAGTGTGTTGTGTTGTGTCCACTCGTGTGTTGTGTTGTGTTCCCTCGTGTGTTGTGCTGTGTTCCCTCGTGTGTTGTGTAGTGTTCTCTCGTGTGTTGTGCTGTGTTCCCTAGTGTGCTGTGTTGTGTTCCCTCGTGTGTTGTGTTCCCCTGGGTGTTGTGTTCCCTCGTGTGTTGTGTTCCCTTGTGTGTTGTGTTCCCTCGTGTGTTGTGTTGTGTTCCCTCGTGTGTTGTGTTCCCCTGGGTGTTGTGTTCCCTCGTGTGTTGTGCTGCGTTCCCTCGTGTGTTGTGCTGTGTTTCCTCGCGTGTTATGTTCCCTCGTGTGTTGTGTTCCCTCGTGTGTTGTGTTCCCTTGTGTGTTGTGTTCCCTCGTGTGTTGTGTTCCCTCGTGTGTTGTGTTCCCTCGTGTGTTGTGTTCCCTTGTGTGTTGTGTTCCCTCGTGTGTTGTGTTCCCTTGTGTGTTGTGTTCCCTCGTGTGTTGTGTTCCCTTGTGTGTTGTGTTCCCTTGTGTGTTGTGTTCCCTCGTGTGTTGTGTTCCCTTGTGTGTTGTGTTCCCTTGTGTGTTGTGTTCCCTCGTGTGTTGTGTTGTGTTCCCTCGTGTGTTGTGTTGTGTTCCCTCGTGTGTTGTGTTGTGTTCCCTCGTGTGTTGTGTTGTGTTCCCTCGTGTGTTGTGTTGTGTTCCCTAGTGTGTTGTGCTGTGTTCCCTCGTGTGTTGTGCTGTGTCCCCTCGTGTGTTGTGTTGTTTCCACTCATGTATTGTGTTCCCTCGTGTGTTGTGGTGTGCTCCCTCGTGTGCTATGTTCCCTGGTGTTGCATATACACAACCAAACTAGCTTCTGTTTGCATGTATGTGTTTGTGTGTGTGTATATATATATATATATATATATATATATATATATATATATATATATATATATATATATATATATATATATAGTGTGTGTGTGTAATGCAGTATAAAAAGAGCATTTAGTTGTTTATGATGACACACTCTGTAATACTTAATGCATATATATTGTGCTTCTCATTATTCTTTGAGTATAAATCTTGCCAACGTGTTTCATGTATCAAAACTCTTTGTATTCAAATCTAACTTTAGCAAACAGTTTTATTTTCAACAAATGTGTAGTTCTTCTGACTTGCAATGCATAACTGGGAACTTGTTCACTATATTTCTTACTCAATACTTGTAGCAACATCGTTGATGTCATTGACGGTGTGATATGGAGAACTAGACTTAGATCCGGGTGACATAATGATTATTTTCCCAACAGCACGCCAGCTCCTTCACTAAGCCTTCTAGCAAGTCTCTAGACGTAAGTCTTTTTCTCTTCTTCAGTTGCTTTAAATCGCATCCCTAAATTGCTTTGGATAGTCTCTTCAGTGCCTCCATGACATAACCTTCAAGATATAAAACTCTAGATCCCTCAAGGGAGGTTCCTGGATGCCTGTGAAGAGCCCTTGATCCAAGTAATTTCACCTATCTTCTCTTTCAATAAATCTTACCTGATTGCTTCCCATCACCCCCCCGGCCATGTATAAACTCCTACGGGTTTACCGTTCTTCCCGTGAATGTTATAATAATAACTCTCTAAAATATCCCTTAAACTGTTTAATAACGCACTTAATGTATCTTCACTTGGCCATTTAATCCCTAGCTTCTCTGCACAGTTCCTAAAATAATATTATACAATCCTTTAATTCACTGCATATTCATAATGCAGGTAAATATTGTATCTCACGTAGCATATCGTTCCTTAAATCAATATAATATCCCTTCATCATGTCACAGGTATATCCCTTCATCATGTCACAGGTATATCCCTTCATGTCCCAGTATTGCTAACAGGTATATCCCTTCATGTCCCAGTATTGCAAGCAGGTATATACATCCCTTCATGTCACAGTACTCCTAGCAGGTATATCCCTTCACGTCACAGTATTGCTAGCAGGTATATCCCTTCATGTCACATTACTCCTTAGTAGGTATATCCCTTCATGTCACAGTACTGCTAACAGTTATATCCTTTCATGTCACAGTATTCCTAGCAGGCATGTCACTATCGACGAGTGTGGGGTAAAGTATCACCACGTGAAACGCTCAAGAAATTTATTAAGCAGACGTTTTGCCCTCGTATGATTCATAAAGCCCATAGTAGGCGAAATGTTTCTTAAATAGATGTCCTAAGTGGCGAACATGTCTTAAAATGATAGCATCCCTACCATACATCGCCACTGACAAAAGATGTTTCTGCTCTCTCTCTCTCTCTCTCTCTCTCTCTCTCTCTCTCTCTACGTTTTGAATATTTTCTTGCCAGTCCAACAGTATTGACTGGCTAGTAAGTCAATATTGTTGGGCAGTTTTATGAGCGAATGATAAGTTCAGACATGGTTAATTATTTCTGAACCTCAATTATCCTGATTAAATGATTTTTACCCGAGTCTACTCCCACAATTTCCACTTGAGATAACATAGGCGTATCACGAAACATATATGGT